TCTCATTGCCTTACTGGTTTTTTTGACAGTCCTTCAACATGCACCCCCTGCCCGGCCAGGGGCGAAGCGTCTATATAATCAAATAATCAGTGCTTCCCTTCCTAATTTTGAAACATTGTCGCTGTCAAATTCATCCTTAAACGTAAACCTATTAAATGAAATGTAAAAAGACGTTCGTAATCAACAATGAGTATGCCTAACATTCAAAACGGTTTCACGGACACAGAAATAGCCTCCTCACCCCTCTCCGGCCACTCCATAAGCAGTCGCAAGCTTTGATTAAGTAAGCTTAAAGTGAGGCTGGAAGAGTCTACCAATAGAGTTGAATGGGACATGTGCATAGCAGTCAAATCTGTTTCATTGCCACGTATACCCTGTTCACCCCTTTGGGGCCACAGTTATAATCAATCACAAGCCCTGATTATGTAAGCTAACTATTACACTGGTCGAGTCTACCTCACAAATGTGAGGGGAACTAACTCCTAATAATCTCTTGACTGCTGCATGTGCTTGTTTTTTTTCCTCGACTTTTTACCGTCCTATAATCAGATCGTGACCTCGATTATGACACCAGCTCCTGGCCGCAGAGTCTAACAAAAACAGCCAAATGTGAAATTTAAAAAAAGGTTAATTGTCATGTTCTGCCAAAGAGTTAGACTCACTGGCAGATCTTTTACATAATATGTATAGATCTAGTACTGACATCTCTGCTTCTTTGCTTTGTGTTTATGCATTCACATCTAAAGTTAAATTTAATTTTAGTTGGAACTGATATTTAATACGATACTTTCCCGATTATTTTGGCGATTGAACATACAATATGAATTCCGGATTTGTTTTCATTCACAACTCAGAGTCGCCGCCTCGAGTAAGATTCTTGTGTGATATCATCTGCAGGCCATATCTGGTCCCGTTTCACTTTGATTACCCTGTCAAACAAGTCAGCCTTCGCCCCGTGCCTGCCCCACTTCTTTTCCCCTTTCCGAAAACAAAGAAAGAAAGAAAACACAAGCAAAGAAAGAACCCAACCCAAAACACTCCCTACCCCTGAAAAATGGGGCAACAATTTAAAAAACAACAACAACGACAAGAAAACAATAATATTATACTTGTCTAATGTGTAAATGGTGAGAGTGGGCGCACTCGTTTGCCCGCGGCTCACGAGCTTTTAAACTTTCCATCACCCCCGGGGAAGTGTCACTGACTAAAGTGTGTTTAGGTCATTTCCAACGGGGGGACATTAACCATGTTCTTATGCGCAGTAGAATTGTAATTGTAAATGCGCTGATTCATCAATGTCATGCTCTTAACTGTACCAGAACTGCAACAGGGAACAGTTGTTTTTTCTTTCGCTATCCTTACTATCGTCATTTTTCCTCTACTTCTTATTATGTTTGTCACACTCTTGTGACCCGCTATTTCCGGGGTGCCTTGATAGTCGAAGCAGACCTTGTGCAGTTGAAGCTAGAGAGGTTTGCAGAGTAAGCCTTATTCCATGTAAGGACTTCTCTGTTGACATCCACCCCTTGGCGCTCATATGACCTTATGCAGGTGCGAGCGACGAAAAACCTCACTAAAACACACAAAAAACTGACTCCTACAAACATTTTATAGGACACGTAGCCTTCTGGGTTAAATGCGAAAAATCTTGAGGTTCCCGTGTGCAAGTTGCGCACGTAAACGTTCCCTTGGTGGTCCAAAATCTATAATAGTAGGCTTCGGCCGCCACCGTGACAAAATTCAAAATCTCATACCTACGGAAAATATTAAATGTGTCACACACGCTCATATTATTATGACCTTATGCAGTTAAAGGCGCCGTATAACACTTACTAAGAAAAAAAAGGAAAAAAAGTGTTAGCTCGTCAATGGAAGACTACAATAAAAAAGACGGCCGAAGTGTAATGGGTGGAAATGATCCAATTCTTTTAGGAAATTATTGGATTTTTTGTTAGTTGGAAATTATTGTTGTTTTGAAAACTTTTGTTGCCAGAATTCCTTGCATTATGTTTGGGAATTATCGTATTCTTGGTGGGAATTTTCTAGTTTTTTTGGAAACCGTAAATTTTTTTTGTTTTTTGTTTTTTTTGTGTGGAAATTATATTCATCAAAAAATATTTTAAAACTTTTCAACAAAAAGTAGCGGACCTATGTGTTGTATCGTGGTTAAATCAAACGCTGTTCTTAACATCCCGCTCGTCAAAAAAATGACATTGAAGAAACTGGCGCTTTCCTGTCAACTTGGCAATTTTTATAGATTTTTTAATTATTTTTTTTTGGCTTAACACCATTGTTGTCCAATCAAGAATACATTTCTGAGTGGATTTTTAACTGAAAAGGGTTGATTAAAGGCACACAAATGTAAATTGTCAGTTTCCACGGACTCTCAGGCAATATAAATAACCAAATTTTGTAGTCCATTTTCCCGCTAATTTTACCTCTGAAACCAGGCAACCCCACCTCCTTCAATAGCAAATATCTCGACTTGTGTTCAAGATAAATGGGTATTTCATTCTTCGAAAGCAAGGCAAATGTACAAGCTTTTAGGCGATACTAATAACTCCACATTCCCCAAATTCGACGAGCGCCTGATTCCACCTCATCGTGACACAAGTGCTATCTATAATCAGAAATCTATTATTACTAGTATGCATCTTGCCGCCTGTCTTTTTTTAAAGTTTCAGATAAAGGAAACGAAGTTTGAAACTCTGAATGACAAATGTAGTTGAGCTTTGTTTTTTTTTAATTTTCGAATGCCCGGAAACTGGACGTTGTTTAATGACCAGGGTGCGGTTTATTTTTAGTAAACGTTTTACTGCACCCACAACACATTAAAGTCATATAATTAAGTACCGAAGATAAGGTCGTTTTAGTAAGCGTTGGGGTGCACTCGCAATACAATAAACGCAGGAGATGAGATAAAGACGATAGAGAGATTCATTTTCATGAGTAGCGGTAAGGCGCTCCTACTACGCACACTGGAGACTGGAGTTCGATTCCAGAGCGGGGAGAGTCTTTTAACCCTATCCGTACTTCGTGTTTTACTAGTTTTACTGTTTCTTTGAATCCCATATTTTGACGAGTGCTTAATTTCAACATAATAATAATATACATATCTTATACTATTATGAAGCAATAAAAAATGAAAAGAGTGATGTCTTGCCCACGATGGAATTTTTTTTTTCTTATGACAATGACAATGATAGTGGAAATGACAATGGCAGTTACAATGACAATGACTATCGTTATTCATCTCGCAGGGAGAAATTTGTCTTGGTCGTTTACAATGGTAGTTGATGGTACAAAGCTTTGATGTACTCACGCATACACTCACAACAAGACAGGGCATTAGTAAATACATGTCTCACGTGCTGGGACAACGCGCTCCGTAAAACATCTGTCTGTCTGTCTGTCTCTCTCTCTCTCTCTCTCTCTCTCTCTCTCTCTCTCTCTCTCTCTCTGTGTGTGTGTGTGTGTGTGTGTGTGTGTGTGTGTGTGTGTGTTTTATTTGTAGCACTGCGTGTTCAGTAACATCAATGCAGTTGGTACAAATGAATTTCCTTAATATCTGTCTGTTGGATGTGAATTTGATTAGCAGTCAGTGGATTTGTTCATCTTGAAGGGGCATTCAGGAAAGTGCGTTTGGAGTGCGCCACTGATAGGTCCTACTTCTTTTTTTTTTCTTCCTCGGTTGTTTCTGTCTGTGTGGGTGGTTGGAGGGCGCAACTGGTATGTCCTACTACTAGGACATACCAGTCTTACTTTTTTATACAGTGCTAAATGCCCGTTATTGTGCCGTTGTGTTTCTATATGTGAGGCAGCGTGGTGGAATCAGGCTCTCGTCAATTTTTGGGCATGTAGAGTTATTGGTTTCATCGTAAAGCTTGTTCAGTTGTCTTTATAGGGATGAAATAAATATCCATTTATCTTGAATACAAGTCGTGATATTTGCGAATGAAGGAGGTGGGGGTCACCTGTTTTCAGAGGTAAAATTAGTGAGAAAATGGCTGCCAAAGATTAGTTATTTCCTTAGATTAAGAGGTAACTGACATTTTACATTTTTTGGTGCCTTTAATCTACGCTTTTCAGAAAAATCCGCACAGAAATGAGATCGTTAATGGGCATGAAAGGTGTTGAGCCAGAAAACAAAAATCGGATGAAAATTCACAAACCTGCGGAAAAAAGCAAGTTTCTTCACTTTGATTATTTTGACGAGAGCCTGATTCCACCACGCTGCCTCACAATTGAAACAATAGCAAAAGAAATACGAAAAACAGAAAGACAATTTCAACAAGAAAAATAATGAAATGGTATGAGTTTAACGCCCCTATCAACACTATTAGGTTATTTAAGAGGCGGGACCTCCTAATGTAACGTCCGTCTCCGATAGGACCGAGCCAAGTGGGAAGTTCGTGTAAGGTGCCTTTCCCAAGGACACAACGTCGGACCGAGCTGAGGCTCGAACCCCCGAACCCGCAATCTCACGATTACGAGTCCGGTAGCCTAACCACTAGGCCACCGACACCACTAATTTTAACTCGAAAGTGTATAAAACAGAAGAAAAAAGCTTTGTCTACGAGAAATAAGGAATACACTCTAGACAGTAAATGATAAAGGTCAATGAACAGATGATTAAGGAACAAGAAAACAAGATAGAGAGAGAGAAGGTGAAGATAAGGAGAGAGAGAGAGAGAGAGAGAGAGAAAGAGAGAGAGAGCGAGAGAGTAACACAAAGATTGAAGGGGAGATAGAATGAGAGAAAGAGAGAGACAGAGAGATAGAAAGAGATAGAAAAGGACACACGCACATATTATAAAAAGAAAAGACACAAAGCGATAGAGAGAGAAAAGGAGAGAGAGTGTGTATGAGAGAGAAAGAAAGAAAGAGAAAGAAAGAAAGAAAGAAAGAGAGAAAAAGAGAGAGAAAGAAAGAGAGAGAGGGAGAGAGAGAGAGAGAGAGAGTGAGAGAGAGAGAGAGAGAGAAGTTGAGATGTTGCTTACCTTGATTCCTGTGCCCGAATGAGGAGAATGGACAAGCCTGGCTGTGTGTGGTGGGACCGAGGAACTAGCGGGGGAGAGAGAGAGGGAGGGAGAGGGAGAGAGGGAGGGGAGGGAGTGAGAGAGTGAGGGTCAGACAGAGAAAGTCGGAGGGAGGTAGAGGACGGAGGGGTTGATGGACTAGCTGGGGAGAGAGAGAGAGGGGGGGAGAGGGGGAGAGGGAGGGGAAGGAGTGAGAGAGGGAGGGACAGTCAGAGAGGGAAGGAGAGAAGTAGAGGAATTAGCGAGGGAGACAGAGAGATAGAGAGAGGGAGAGGGGGAGAGGGAGGGGAGGGAGTGAGAGAGCGAGGGACAGACAGAGAGAGAAGGAGGGAGGCAGAGTGTGGAGGGGTTTGGGAACTAGCGGGAGAGAGAGAGGGGAGAG